AAAAAATTGCGTGGTGAAGGAAACATCGATTTCAGATAAGAGAATAAAGGGTCGCATTGATTCGGATGCTGAAATGGGATTTTCGATGCTCGTTAGCAAAAATTCAATGTTTTATTGTGTTTTTGTTGTATGCCATTAAGCCGAATATTGAGAGACAGACACTGATTTTACCTTCAACTTGATAAAAATTCAACGGTCGCTTTGTCTGTCGGTTCCACCTTAACGTCGATATAATTCAGTGAGTTATGCACACTCCGTGTCATTGGTGCAGACAAAATTTTGACGGTCCAAGTCGGTCCATCATTTGACACACACAAACAACATACAAATCCCAATACACAGTTTTGTTTTTGCTTCAATCAACGAATTTTGGCACCATCATTTAACCTGTTAAAACGTTTTTGTTCTCTTAAATGACGAAAAGAGATTAACTCCATCTATATATATAGTTTTTCGCAAAATGCTAAACTTGAAATAGATTCAATTTTGTTAATGAATATGATGGGTTTATCTATGCGAACAGGTTAGACGATGTGGCATTTGCCCGTATTGGTTTTATCACCCTCATTTTCATCCATTGAAATCGAAAGTACCTAAAATGAAAAGTAACGAACGAGCCTATTGTCCTGCTATGTAATACATTTAACAATGGAGAGTTTGGTATACTTAACTCGGTCATTCTTTCAAAAGATTCAAATAAATAAAGAAAAGCGAAACTATGTCACTAGTTCAATTTAAATATTAAAATTGAAAGTGTAGTTTTTGCATGCGAAATTAGTTGCTTTAATATCCATAATAAGTGTTGAAAAGTCGTTAGCTTTTGCGATAGTCAAAAGAGTCACCTTTAATCATAAAATAAGGAGGTAGTTTAAACCAAATCAACCGAGAAAAAGCTGAATTGCTGAGTCCGTTTTTTCTCCCTCACATCCTTTTAATCGTATAGTCAACAGCTCTGAGATAAACTTCTCTTTTGAGCATGAATTTTTTTATTATTGTCTCGGGTCAATAGTGTATATTTTTTCATTTCTTTTGAAAATATCCTTTACCATTTTAAAAAAAGAAGAAGATAGAAATTTAGTTCTGTTGTTGTTGTTAATCTTGTTTTTTAATGACGGAAAGATTGTGAATGATGATGACGATGAAATGATAGATGCAAGTAAAAAACGAAATAAAGTCAAGCACATAGCACTTCAGTAAATGCATGTTGCTACGGAACTAATGGATGACACTGTTTTTGGAGGTATTTTTTTGCGCTGTCTCTCTCTCTTTCTTTTTTCGAGCACAAAAGAGTCACACACCGAAAAGAGTGACGACGCGACTGTCCATCACCTAAATTAATGTTCACAAGCCATGCCGTTATTATAATTGTTTAACGAAGTATTAAAAGTCCTTTAATAAGTACGAATAGAATGTGTATCTACAGTGAGATGGTCCATCTTGTTATCTTGGTGCACGGTGACAGTAATGGTGCGCATCGCTTTGAATGTGAAAGGTCTTTTACAGCAACAGCAAGCGACAACAACAAATAAAATAAATATATATATAAAAAAAACACCGTGTATATAAAATGCCACAGCAAAACGAGCGGCCAAAAAGAAGAACAAAAGAACACGAAAATTGACATGAAACATATATAAACGTGCATCGTGTATACCTTGCGCTTTCGCACACTAATTTTATGCCGAGCAACTCAAATTTAGTAACCGTAAAAAAGCTGAACGACCACCTCATCTTACGATTGTATCATTTTCGCGTTGAAGATGTCGAACAAGTTGATGTCATTTTTATCCCCCATTGCCTCGATGTTATGTATGTCGATGTTGTTTCGCTCTTTGTTTTGTGACTTCGTTTTTCATTTTCATCGTTGTTGACTTCGTTTTTGTCATCGTCATTCTTGTTGTCGGTGCTTTTTTTCTTGCTCTCCTCATCTCATTCTTTCCATCGCTAAATTTCACTTGTGAAAAATAATAATCTACAGTGTCAGCTATTTGGTGAACATCAACCGGATTTGCATTCAACGATGTGTTTTCTTTTGCTCGTTCGTTGTCAACAAGCTAGATTCGAATTAACAAAAAAAAAAAAAAAGATCGTGAAGCAAGAAAGAAAGGCAGAGAAAATACCAAGCAACACTAAAAGTACATCGTAAAACCGAACAATGAGTAATGAATGATTAAACGCGCAACAAAGCAGGGAAAAAATGCACACCATTTTTATTTAGTATCAATCGAAAGTGAGCACTTTAACTTTTCATTTCACTTTTCATTCCAATTCCTTGTTGGTTTTTTTTCGGTTTTCTCTTGCTTTAAATCAGCTTTAATTTTATGAACAGAACCTGATCTGATTAGCCAATGAGATGTTTGGTTTGATGCTCGAGTTTTTTTTCTCCGATACCTAAATATTTTCGTTTTCGATATCGAGTCAACTCGAATTGAATGAAGCATTTCACACCATGGTACATGATCGTAAAAACTTTCTAATTTCCTCCTCCCTTGTGAATCGCTTTTTAAGTTGCTAACCGTGCTCACACTAGATTAGTTGATTCTATAACATATATAAAAGCGTACATGGGATAGTTGAGTTTATATTGGAAATGAAGCTTTTTGCATTTCGATCAACGTCATCAACAGAAAATGAGGCGCAGAAAATTCTAGAAAAAAAAAAACAGATGTCGAAAAATATAATGGAGAAAGAAAGAAATTTCAGGCGGAGAAAGTGGGGGAGGAAAAAAGAGAAAATTTACAAGCAAACAAACACAGACATCATCAAGCTCCATGATAATTCGACACATTTTTTTCTCGAACCAATTTTTAATGGGAATGCGTATACTTTTAGACGACACAAAGCGTTGTACTTTATGTTGTATTTAAAATTATCCATGAATATGCACCGAACAGAAAAAAAACGAACGAAAGCATGTTATAATAGTTGAGAGTTCAATTTCCGTGATAAAATTTAATTCGTTTACTTTTACAAGGTTTTCACTCTCTTGCACACATGATTTTCAATCGTCGCATATATTCATGACATATATATGTACATACTGTCAACGATGTATGAGATAAGGTGCACCCAATCGTTGTATGCGGTCTGAAATAAATGGAACAACAGCAACTAGAAACGAGCTTGAGAGAGAAAAAAAAGAGAGTTTTGGGTTTGGGACAAAGGGGGCACCTGTGTGTGTGTG